ACTTGCTGGTTCGCCGGGGCTTGCACAACAACCGAAAAGCAGCAACAGCCCAACAAAAACATCGGTTCCGCTTGTGTCGCCGTATATTCGTTTGTTCTACAATATAGACGGGTAGCATTCTCATCCAGCACTGTTTGCCGAAAACAAGATGGCAATGCTCATGTTGGCAAACCAAGCGGCTACGCTGTAAAACCAGGACTTGCCAGTCATAAGTGCCGATGCCTCTTTCCTGTTGCACAAATGCTTTTTTCGTCTTGGTCTCCGTGGTCTTGGCATATACTGACATAATATACTGCACAGCCACGTCTGCATCTCAGTCCTCACTGTGGTCAAGCCGGCTAGCACGCTCAAATGCGCCGTCGCTGCCGAGGCGAATGTACCTGGTCTTGGCACATGGCTATGCAGCGACGGCTCGGCTGACATGAGCTATTCGTTTCTCTCTGTGCAAACAGCCTGACACTTCGCAATTTGCTAAATGTGTACATCACTGGTCCACCTCTGCAACTCCAACAGTCTCGTAAGTGCTTTTAATGCGGGGTTGTCCGATCGCATCGACCGCATGATGCCGTCGAGAAAGTCTTTGACAGTTAAGCTGGAAGTTTTGAACTTCTCGGCCGGGCACTAAGCAAAAGCATGCAAAAGCTATGTGCAGTGCATTCAATAAACCTACCTCTCACACAGAGTTCTCCAACAGCTTCCTTCTGGAATTTGTCGGCGCCAAACATGTTCGGATCCATCCTTAGATTCTCAGGGAATTGTCGGGACTTCAATGTTGTGTCCAGCCGGCTCTGCCTTGGTCTCCGGCAAACTTTGATACTGCTGCCGGCACTGAGTTCGTAAACCAGCTGCTTGGCCAAGCGAGTTCTACTCAGCATCGTCTTTGCTACATTCTGTTAGACTTGCTTCGAATCCATGTGAAGTAGGGGTCCAGCAATGGTGTGAGCTTCCCCAGTGTGACTAGCAACACGCTGTACTTTCTTTCCGCCGGTGCAGAGAAGGGTTCCTTTGAGCTCTCTCGGCAGTTCCATTAGTTAAACAATAAGTTCACCGCCAAACCTTGCACTTCTCTTGTTCCTTCGCGAGATGAGCTTTTGTACATGCTCTTCTAACCAGACCGGACTCTAATCTAGAGTTCGCTATCGGCTCTTTCGACACTATCGACATGCTCCTTTCAATCGGGGCTCGTGAGGCTGATGACAGTCGTGAGAAAAACGAAAAACGCCAAGTGTCGGGATGCACAGCCAGAGCAAAAGTGCTCGGCCCAGTGACACGCCCGAAGTGGCTACTTTGTCGCTGAGGCTGCAGAGCCTGATTCGGCAAGGAGAGGGCTAGGAGGTTGCTTCTGTAAAAAGAGCATGCGAAACAGCGAAACCACGGCGAAACGCCTCCAGTCTCAAACACAAACCCGAATGCTTTCAAAGCATTTGCGCCATGCCAGCCCCGGTAACAGTGGTTCGAATCAAGAGGCTTGCGGCATCGTCCGGTATCTCATCAGCACGCCAGGTACAAGTTCCCAGCGCAACGACAAAAATCATGAGCCTCAGCTGCTTCTGTAGCATGTGCTGTTTCTTTCACAGCCTGCTGAGAAACACGGTTGCTGCACCAATCCCTGAAAGTCTGCCGAGACCTTGCAGTTGTTTTTCCCTTGCAGTTGTGGTCCCGGCGCTGCGCCCCTCATCTCGCTGTGAAAGTACTAACTTCACCAATAACCATCGGAAATTTAGGGATTCTGTGCGAACAGCTCGCCACAATGAACATCTACAGGGCTTGTGTTTGCAACGACAAGCCTATCTGCGCTAAGTCCCGGTCCGAACAGTGCCGGACTCCAGGGCCATGGCCAAAGCTCCTGGTGCCAAGCCCACATCCATTTGTATCTTTCAACCCTTTGCAACGGCCTTGTCAGATCTCGACCGGACTGATAGCCCACAGAAGTGACTTGAGATCATGCTCTGCGCATCTTTAAACCCTTTTGCAACTGGCTTGCATCTTTAAACCCTAAACTCTAAACCCTATCCGGCATCCCTTCAGTGCCCATCCTGACCTACTGGCGGTGCAAATCGGTCCTGCGCCCATCGCATAGAGCGCTGCAAGAAGAGCCCTGCCGACTTGGGTGTGTTCTTACTACCCGTTTTGATCTTGCCATGTCATGTTCTTGTCGCTCTTCTTCAACGTATTCTCATTCCCACGCATGTTGGCGGTTTCTCTCTCTGACTTTTCGACAGCCGCTCTCATCAGCTTTCTCATTGTTACGATTTTGAATAGTCGCTTGCTCCTTTCTCAAATCAAGGTGGAGTTTTAACAAACGGAACAAAAGGGGCATAATTCTAGCGACCCTGCCGCTCCCCTCCCTCCCTGTTGCTTCCTAGGCTCTCTTTCTTTGTGGAGAGTATAACGTGGTGGACTCTCTTTCTGCAGGTCCACAGTAGTTGGCCCCCCTGTCCCAGTGCGCAGCCGTGGACTAGGGGTGGAAGTATTGAAGCAAAACGGATGCTGTAAGTGAGCACACGCTCTCTGGAGGTGGCCCCTGGTAATATGGCAGGAGTGTGAGGGTCTCTGCTTTGTGCCGGCGTCCCTTGCTTCGTACCTTCATGAGGGATCATGTCGGGAACCGTTTTCGGTTTGTGAAGTGGGCTGTCTTGCCAAGTGTGCTTCACTCTCACTCACTCTCTCGCTCAACCCGCCCACATTTGCAAGACCACGCATAACCCACGGGTAAAAGCAAGCTCACTCCAAATCCCAGATAGGAACGGCAAGAACCCCCTGCTTGTTAATATTGGCGGGCTCAGGCTCTGGTATGCCCCACCGTCTCTTGCAGTTTGCCCTCACGCCCAGCTCAGATTCTTCAACACCTAATGATCCTCTCTCCCTCCCACCCTCCTTCCCTCCAAATGCCCCTTCGCAAAGTAGATGCGCATTGTATATGAAACTAACATTAAACCTACATGTGCATCACAGAGCATCTGTTTAAAGACAAGGGTCAGAAGCAGGATCAAAGCAATTGGCTGGTGCTTGAAGCGAAAGTCCATGAACACGTAATGGTAGACCTTCGTCCTTGGATGCGGTACTGCATGCTGCACACTGCCTACCCGCCTGTTTTGCACTGCAGAAAAGTCGCTGTATGAAGAAATACCTCAGTTTCCGTGTTGATGCGGAGCAAGCGCATGGATGCCCTTTTCGGTCGCGGCTGTCAGCTTCCTTTTCTTAGCTTCCATCTTTGGGCCTTCGGCTGCCGTGCATTCTGAAATCAGACAGCAGCGCTGGCAGTACAAAGCCAAGGCCAGGATGAGAAGGTACTCTTAATATGAGCCCTAATATGTTGGGGTTATAGGGCCAGGGTTTCTTAACCAGGTTCCTACTAGGCATGTCATTGCAGAAATATTGTTGACTGGCAGGCCACTCAATCAGGATTGTCGACTGGTAATGCCTACGCCGGTTTGTGGGGTCGAGCAGACCGGTTTGTGTACTGCAACTGCAGAACAGCATTTACGGAACGGCTGTCGCGTTTCCGACAGGAAGTTTTCGGCATTTGCTTTGATTAATTGGTGGACTGCCCCCATAGCCACGCCCTCTCCACACGATGCGAACCGAACAATTATTTTCTTGCGTTGCATGCCGGACTGGGGAACCAGCTGATGATTGAGGTGCTCTTCAAATCTGCAAATTCAATCAAGCTTTCCCGAGTTGCGAGGGGCGGCCACGGTGCTCCACCCCCTAGCCTGCATAAAGCCCTGTAAAGGACAGAGCAGGTGTCATAGCTGCCAACGCAGAGTTGACAAACGAAGGCAGGGAGACACCCAAGCTTGCTGAACCTCTCAATACCGCAAGCAGAAGCTTTGAAGATTATGAGCTCTCTGACGGAGTCAGCTGCCTTCCGTATGTGCTCCAAGGCTGCTGGATCGACAACTCTTGCCCCACTCACATGTGTGCATGTGGGGAAGCCATGTCGCACGAAACGATAGGCCGGGGTGCACTAGGTCTCGTAATTGCAGGTGGGGTCTCTTTGCTAAACTGTCCCATGTCTGGTACCGCACCTTGGACAGGTTGGGCTTTCCTCTGGCGGAGCGAAATTTTACTCCGATGTTTTGCATTGACAAAAGATTGCCAGATGGTCTGCGCCTCCACGTCGGCAGTGGCTGCAAGGCAAAATGGAAAACGACGTCCTGGCTCCATGGACACTTTGGGATGATTGAATGAAGACAGCTTTTCAAAGGCCCGCTGCCAAGTGGCCTCACGACCATCCAGCAACAAAGAAACTGGCTTGCGAAAAGCGGTGCCATGCGGAACATCTGCACGCACCCATACTCGTGAAGCACGGTGATTCAATATTCAGCACATGTGTCAGTGCTTCCAAGCAGTCCAGATCCCAAGCTGTAACTTCAATTTCTTTGGTGCAAGAGACGCGGGTCGTTGGGGTCCCGGATACCCCGGAAAACATCTGACCATGTCTGGAAGGGGCTAAGTGCTCGGTTCAGTCTGCGTGGCGTAGGCACCTTCTCGGCACGTTCTGCGGCTCGCAAGCCAGGACTACTGAAGACATTGTGCATGCATGCAAGCCACCCGCTCTTGCTAGAGTCGTGGCTGAGCGCCGGAGAATGAAGTCGGAGTCTCGCGAGGGCCAACACAGATCGCACCCTGCTGTCCTGATATTATGAGGACCTTGCAGCAACGCCATCGTCTCCTTGAGAAACTGCGAGGATGAATGTTCAGGGAACGATCTGTGCCGCAAGGGCGGGCTGGCTTAGGGCTTCAAGGCTGAAAACTGGCCATGCTTGCTTCTCAGCTCGCCTGCCCTTGCAGAAACAGCTTCCTATGGCCCTCCCGGATCTCGCTGCGTGTGCACAGGTATCTGTCCGAGCTTTGCTGGTACGGACAGAAAGCCTCGCAGCTGACACAGGCTGATACCATCTGAGAACCCTTTCGAAACTTTCTCTTTCTCACTGCCTTCCTGAACAGTTGATGACAGCTGAAGGCTTTCTCAGGTGACAAAGAACGCTGCGAGTGTCCGTGCATGCCTACAGCTAAGCCAGCTTCACTTCTCAGAAAACGACTAGCACAGACACAGCGCCCGTACCCAAGCGTATCAAGACTTGCAGCAATATGGCAAGCTCTATCTAGGCAGCCCAGACAAGTCCGTCTGTGGCCTTCACCCCAAGGAGTCCGAGCAAACGCTCCTTGGCTGTGCCCACAAGAAGATGACGGGAATTAACTGCCTCTATGCCACGACTCCAGAATGTGCGGCTGATGGGCTCTTACGAGTCACTGCTCGATGAACACTGCAAGTGCTGAAACAAAGCCGCTGCAAAAGCTCTGTCGAGAAGCCTGATGCTAGTCGCCCATGCCAGCAGGATCTGCTTCCCAGTTTAAAGCACTCCAGCTGATG